AAAGAGTCCAATGTCTGTCAGCACTGCAAAACAGCTTTCTATGATGATTGGTATTTCATTGTGCCTGATCATCTTGTGATGATTGTTTTGTGGTTTATTTAGGTGAGGGCTGGAAGATAGCTAATACCAGCAGAACAAATCGTGGACATTCCAGGCTCCTGTTAGTTAAGAACACATATAGGCAGCTATTTACACTGCCAGGTAACAGGATAACGTATCATAGAGTATGAAAATAACCCAATAAAGTATGGTACATGCAATCCATGGGACTAAATTGACAGAGTCTTACAAACATACATGCACTGTAGTCATGGAATCAAATCTTTGCTGCTATAACTGGACAAAATTCCATTGAGCTCTACCCATTTTGCACCAACAGAAAATCTGAACCCAGTATTAAGCAATAATGGTTTCAGGTGTACAAGTAAGGTGTAATTATTATCACCTGGAGACTATTGTTTTGTTAGCTTGATACATTTTTCTGTACATTTTCTGACCATACCCTTTTATCTCTTCCTGAGGCAATAAAAATGCTGTAGGAAAGAACAGTATACTGGTAGAAGGGAGACAAGGTGTTCTAATAGTAATAACTTCTTGGGGAATAGTGTCTGAAAGGCTACTGAAGAAGGGAAGCCATTTGCCTCTACTGCAGTTACATATTATTATGAAAAAACAAAACAAAACAACAGAGGTATCGTGAGATCTCTCTTCCTACTCATCTGATGTGTCCTGGGCTTGCTGGTATCAGGCCTGTGGAACACAGATCACCTTCCTGACTTCTTGGCTTAAAGAGAAGCTAGCACACCTCCCACCATTAAAGGACCATTAAAGGATGCAAGTAATGTAAGCCAAGCACACATTACTTCCATTACCTCTGCCTGTACCTAAGCCAGTACTTTTGGGATTTGGATGAAGCGATCTATTAGGTAAGCTCAAAGGGAGAATCATCCTTGCTGAACCAGCAAGAGCTGCACTGAGGTTGTCTGAACTGGACACTATGCTTCTCATAAGAAGGAAACTTGAGCAAAGAGCCTAGAATGCACACAGTCTACAATGTTAGCAAAACCATGCTTAAATCATATGACTGGTTCCTTCTTTGAGACAATTAGGTGCTCTTGAACTTGATAGCATCCTGTTCGCTCACCTGGATTGTTGTATTTGTAAGAAAAGAATGAGAGCTAGAAGTTCCCTGTGATAACAGACCCTATCATCCCCTCCTCCCCACCCATTTCTTCTCTATCTGATTGAACTCTGTGCTTACAAACCACATCAGTCGAGCACGATACAGTGTCTGACATGAATTTTGGATGGGAATCCTACATCACGAATGCAGGATGATGGCTTTGGATTGTTTGTAAACAATACACATCAGCCTCTGTTTCACAAGCATGTCAACATGCAGTAAGAGATGGAGATGATGCACCAGGCTTACGCCAGACAGCCATGCAGTGCCTAGCTGGGGGAATGTGCCTTTGCTAGGCCCACATAATATGCTGTTTATATTTTGTGTAAACTGCTAAAGCTAAGTCAGTTTGCTGTAAACATTTATATTACAACATCAGCTTCATAGCCTGTGGCAATGGTGGGCCACTGGATGGAAGAAACATTTTTCCATCTGGAAGCCCTGTCTTTGTACTAACTGGAAGGCAGAACTTGCAATGCATGGTTAGGGAGTAATGTCACGGTAGAGATTAAATCCAAAGAAAATATTATTATTCAAGGCTGGCTAAAACGGGGTTGAATTTCTTCTCATCCAATACACCAAGCAGCATCTGTAAACACTTTAAGATGACAGTAAATCCTAAAATACACCAAGCTTCCTGGATGATGCAATAAAGGGGATGTATTGTATGCTATACCCCAAGGAATCGTATGGATTGCAGACTATGGTTTGGTCTTTGCCCTTTCGAGTAACCCTAAACATCAAAAATATGCAGAGGAAGGAAAACATGCATATGGCTCACTTAAGTGCACAGGAAACAGGGTGTTTGTGATAGAAGGTGATTTAAATTCAGTAATTCCAGTAAAGCTGCAAAGCTTTAGGTCAGAGAATGAGTTCGAACCTTGTTCAGGTTAAGCACTGCAAATGCTATCAGTTGGTACAAACTGTTTGGGTGAGACAAACAGAAGTCTGGAGTTCTCTTTGGCCTGAATGAGAGCTGTATATTGTATTCCAGTTGGAATCCATTCTCATTAGAACAACAGCATTGACATGATGAGGATTCAGTTTCTAGAGAAATGCCTTGAAGGATAACAGAGTAACACAGCAGGCCTGATTCTGTTTTTGCTTGCCTTTGTTTGCACTGGTGACTTCAGTCGAGGCACTCGTTATATAAAGTTATATAAATGACAGTTATATAAATGACAGTTATATAAATGAGAGGAGTCCCCCTAATCTCAAGTAAACTCATTATCTCAGCATATATTCCAAGCCATCTAGCATTTTGCATGTATGTGGTTTAAGCATCTTGGATGTGAATGGACAGGCAGAATTGCACCCTTCCAAAAGTTCACATAACAATCTCATCTTGCTGATCAGACCAAATACCAGAATGGAATTCCACAGCCTTTACAGCAAAAAGCCTTGAAGAATAACAGGATTCTTGTCATATAAACCACATATGGATAATACCATTACAGATCATAAGAGAAATATTAAATGATGTAACCCTTAGGAAAATAACAAGTCATTCAAAAAGAAAGAGAAGTTTTGGCAATTAATGGGGAGAGATGTGAGGGTGAAATAAGAGTTGTTCATAGCTAGACTCAGCTGGATTTATGTATGGCACAGAGAAGAGGCAAGGCACTTTTACAAGGGGGTTTGCTCTTTACTTTTAGGTTTATACTTTGCACCCATATACTGAGAAGGTTTATGTCAGAGACTGAGTTAGAATCTTGTTCAAGTTAAGCACTGCAAATGCTATTAATTGATACAAACAGTTTGGTCGCCAGAGAATGCCATCTTTTATTTCCCATATAGCCCCTAACATCCTAAAAAAGAAACAAATGAACCAAAAACTGACACTGGTTTCTTTTGGATATGCAGATAAAGGAGACATAAAGGCAACAAGGTTTTGTCTCCTGCCTGACAACTGAACTAACAACTCCAGGCAAAATTACAAAAATCCCGTCCAGCAGCACTGGAAGATAAGAAGTGCAAGGACTGACAAGCAAGATAGATGAGAGCTATCACAGGAGGTAAAAAAAAACCTCAGTGTGAGGAGTTCTCCAGCCTAGAAATCTGGACAGGATTGTGAGTAATGGACTTTGAGATCTAGCCCCTGCTGTGTGACCTTAGACAATTCACTTTATCACTCTGTGCCTCAGTTTCCTCCTTGAAATATTGATAATGCTTACTGCAGTGCATGTAGCTAGGATTCAAAATGCAGCCTTGTAAGCATGTGGTTGAATGAATGTCTTCAACCCAGCAACAATATTGCCAACTTTAAGCATTCAGAAATCATGACTTTCAAAACCTATTGGCCTCCTGTCACAAAAGAAAAGGAAAGAATCAACTTGCCCCTTTCACAGGGGAAGGGGAAAGCTCTTCCTTGGGACTCCCCCAAGAAGCAGCTTTATCCGGTCTCCCTCTCCTGTGA